CCCCACAAAATCTAGCTTGTCATACATCAATTCACCGGGGCTGCGTGGTCATGAGGCATGACGCCCGCCTTGAGTGCTAGAGGTTCCGGATTCAATCCGCTGGTAAGGGTTGGGATTTTTTTTATATGATTTGGAGGTCTAGTAATTCTCCCTGGTCTCTGTGTAGCGAGATCGGACGCCCATGTGCATTGTTGCGCACGTTAAAAAAAAAATCCCTTGGCACTCGGAAATCGAAAAAAATAGCGTAACGGCACTTCCCGGGCCAAAATTTAGAGTTAAAAATCTACCCAAAGTATTTCAGAGCATGTGCACTGTGCTGAGGTTTTCGGACTCAGACTTGAGTTGGTAGTAGAACGGAGCACTTATGGGTACTACCCTTGTGCCATGATGTTAATCCGTTGTTCAAACCTCAAACATCAATTCACTAAATTCCTCAATTCATCGGACGATCGTTACAGTAAAATCTAAAGTTCTAAATTCTTAACTTTGGATTAAATACAGATGACTGCTTTCCGTTGGTGTCATCGAGTTGGTAAAGTCAAATGGTTAATTTGTGAATGACTTGAGCTGAGTTGAGTTGATTCAAGAACCGCTATCACAGTACTCGGGGCATTCCCATAAGCACCCCGTCCCCATCTTCAGCAGCCAGTGTAGAGTACCTATACTAATCGTGTCAGTTGCATTCTGATTAAACGTCCGTTTTGCCTTTCCTCTGATCCTCGAGCATCTGCCAGAACCTCTAGTCACTCCCCCCTGCATCAATCTCACCAGACTGTGGTGATCCATCTGCTCCTCCGAACTGTACACATAGCATTAACCACGCCTGCCTTATCATGCATCAGTATTCCACCAAGTTGTGCAAAGCCAGAAGTCTGTCTGCCTATTCATTTCCCAACACATCGGCGTATCCCAGAGAGAAAAAAATCCAGACAATACTCCTTACCCGTATAATTTGTGAAATTACAAAGATGAATTTGTGAATTCGTCTTTCTAAGGCTGATAATGCAGCAGACGAACGAAAGCGAAACATATCAGAAAATAAATTATTTAGTGTCTGGGTTATTCTTTAAACATAACTCGGATTGTCACACGTGGCGAAGGGATCAAGCAGTCTGCCTCAGGCTCTGTAGGCCGTGAGTTCGTTTTACTGTTACCTCGTTCGGTTCACGATTGCAAATTTTACGTAGAAGCCTAGGGATCGTCGCCGAAGCTACAATGTTCGCGCTTTGTGCAACCATTTCGGCAGGAGGCAATCTTTTCGATGTTGAGAGACCAAACCTTATGGGATCAAACCCGATGCAATGAACTTACATATTTTGATGTTTTTAACCTTTGACTTACTTCTTTAAATATAAAAATAAACTGGAGATGAACGTACCTTTAAAGAAGAACACATTGTCAATAACTGCGCCGCCATCAACGAGCCAGATGTGAACATAACCATCCACGTTGTCAGGCACGCCTTCCCACTCTCGAGCAATGTAAAGTGGGTCGCCGTAGCGGGTTCTGTTGGCATGGTTCTCGTACATCCAGTAGTGGTTATCCCGGAAGAAGTAAGTATTGTAAATAAATTTATTGTCTGGCTGTCGACGTACCCAGTCAAAGACGGTGTTAAACGATCCCTTACACACGCCTGGAAAAAAAATAGATTAGCACAGGATGTAGCTTACAATATTTGGCTCTACTGTCAAATCATTAAAGTTAAAATTTTGACAGCATGCATCTTTCCTGTAGCAACAAATGCGGACTATCTCAGAGTCCAAGAAAAAGGGACTTTTGAGCTGAAAGATTCTCAGAATTCAATAAAGACAAGAAGAAATACTGACATTTTAAAAGATCTGAACATCAAGGAAGACTTGCTAATAAACAGCATCTTGTCTCGGAAGCTGAAATATTTTGATCATATCAAGCGCCAAAGCGAATTTAAAAAAAAAAAAAAAAATAGCAGAAGGCATGGTACCAGAAAGGAAGGGCAGGGGCCGACTGATTAGAAGATGGGCGCAGGATACAAGTGGGTCTTTGAATGCGAAAGTGCACGAGGCGGAAGAGTTAGCGAGAAACCGAGTTTCTTTTAGGTAGATGAAAGCGACGTTCTGCAAAAAATCTCATCCATGATATGACTTTCAAATCGTTTATGGAGCTGACTAATGGGGAACCACTAGAACTGTTAATTATCAACTACAACCAGTGATGCCGACGTGTGCCGATTTGCTATACTATATAGATCTAACCCTTTATGCCCAACCGCTTGAAGAAGTGGAAAAGGGTAACGTAATGTGTGTAATTTAGAACTGGTTCTGATCCGACACTTTCTATGGTGACTTTACCCCTGATTTGATCTTTCTTAGTTACTTCTACCGCCCTTTTCAGTTATCCATGGTTTCTAATGTTCTTTTCTGGATTGCTTTTAGTGACTATTTCCTGAAAACTCCCACGAAGACGAAGACAAGAGAAGAAGAAAGAAGAAGAAGAAGAAAGAAGAAGAAGAAGAAGAAGAAGA